TATATATATATATATATTTATGTGTTATATGTTTCAGGAAATAACATATGTCTGCATTCCTTGACTACTTAAAACTGTCTTTTGTTTTAGAGTCGCAATAAACATTTGGATAAAGTACATGTAGTCCTTGGAAAGAAATCCTGTGATTTGGATTCACTTATTTCTGCTTTAGCTTATGCCTACTATCTTGAAAAGGTAAATATTTTGCATGTCATTATGTTTCAGTCATTATAACTCCGTTATCATATAAATATTAGTCATTTATCTGACAGCAAAACTGATTTAATGACTGTGAACCATTGCAAGGCTATTTGTTTTAATCTCTAATGATTGTTTAATAACTATAGCACAGCTATCCAAGAAATATTTTATGTATGTAATTTGTCTAAATCTAGAATTCTCATCTTACTATCCCGTGTACTTTTTCTATAAATTGTCTTTTATACTTAAAATATTTGCTGCATAGAGATTTGTTTTGCTTGCCCACACATATCTACTAAGTAAAGTTGCATAGTTTTCAGTGGATGCAGGCAGTTTGTTCTTTCTTCGCTTTCCATTAACTATATCACTGAGAAGAAATTTATTCTACCAAAACTGATTTCCCAAGGACTGGCATAGTGTCCTCTTTTGGGCCTTGCCCATACATATATCTATGAGCCAGATCGCTAGGGTTTGTCCAATAAATCATGTTTAAAATAAACCATGATTTACTGTGATATGTCTATTCTGTGCAGCTGTAAAACTGTATTTATTGTTGGAGAAAAAATCTTCAACTACTATATTATAGACATGAACACTGGGTGCTTCAATGTGCATGTATCAAAATAAACTTAGACTGTTTTCATTCATGAAAATGCTTGCATAATACCTCTTCCACCTCATCTATTTCTGGGCTTGAAAAAAAATGTCACCTGTAAAGTTGCAGTGAAAAATTTCTCAAGGAAATAAATATTTTTCATGGAAGTGCAAACTTCTGATTCAGGATTGTGGTGTCAGTTTATAATGAAATTGTAATCATCACTATCGGAGTGCTTTCTAATTTCCAGGAATTCTCTTGATGTAGGTCAGTCCACCTAACATCGTATGTTTGCCAGTACTGAATATATCAAGAAGAGAAATCTGCTACCACACAGAAACTAGATTTATTTTGGAGGAGCTGAATATCCCAGAGTCTCTCCACATCTTCCGTGATGAAATAAATTTGTATCAGCTGAACAGTGAAGGGAAATTGTTTCTTACACTGGTGAACAGCAGTACACTGACAAGGTACCATCCTGAATTCCTGATTATTATTACTAGCAAACCTAGCTTGAACAGATTCATCTAGAGCTACCTCTAGTTAAATCCTCTTTCCTTCTAGTTTATCTTATTCTTCGATAAAGTATTGACTACTTTTCTGAAGTGTTTACATCAGACAATGTGACTAATATTCATAAAATTTTATAGTATTAAAAGGATAATGTTAGGGAACACAACACTCATAATTATTACTACATACATTTAGGCAGTTCATGTTTGGAGTTGAAGATAATTTACTTAAGCCTGATTCACTGATGACTAGCTATAGAGTCCTGTCTCTGTGCAAGGAACATATTAGACATTCTTTAAGTGATGCATGACATCTTGTGAACCACATGTCTTTTTATGTTTCTAGAGCTCCTAATTGCAAGGTGTATTTATATGCCATCATTAGCTCAGTTCAGGGGATCATTTTTGACTGTGTAAAAGGGCAGCAGAAATGCAACTAGTCCCACCCTTCAACAATGATGCCCATGTCAGCAGTGTCCCATAGCTTCTGACTGTTGTAGTCTTAACAGAGCTGCTTTTCATCAGCATAAAGTTTCCTCAACAGAAAAACAGATTTTATCCAACAAGAGTCCTGTGTGATTAAGTCATTCCTAAAACAATCACAGCTTGGCTGGGGAATGTTGTTAGCAATACAATGTCAAGAGAATGGAAGTAGCCCAGTATATTTCTGTTGGGCATATGAAACCAATAATAGCATGAAGAGACCAAGTACTAACCTGAAGGAACTGTTAACATACTGCAGTATGTACATTTCTTATTTAAAAGCAATAGTGCTTAACTATATTTAGATGAATCCAATATTACATTAAGAGCCAGTTTGGTGTAGTGGTTAAGGTACCGGGCTAGAAACTAGGAGACCATGAGTTCTAGTCCAGCAGAATATACAGAAATGAAATAATGAGCAGCATTTAACTTTTTTTTTTATAGTGAAGATAAAAATTTAGAATCAGCTGTTGTCAAAGTCATCATCCCTGAAGAGCAAAATGATGGCAACCTGGAGTTGTTAGAATCTGCTTCCAGTCTTGTAGCAAAAGAGCTTCTCCAAAAGGCACCAGAGTTAATCACTCAGCAACTGGCTCATCTCCTCAGAGGTGAGAGATTGTTCTTTATATTAAATACTGAAAGGTTTAATGGAGTGTTTCTGAATCCACTCATGCAGTGAGACTGTGATCCATTCTTTGGTTAACAATCCTTTTAAAAACCATAGGAAGCTGCTAGAAACAAGCAGGGTGTAAAGAGTTTGTTACATATTATGTGGAATATTAAAAGTAGGCATGGCTGGGGTGTTTGCTGTATCATTAGATAGGAGTGTTATGTGACAGTAGCTGCTTGTAAGTACCAAAGTATCTCTCATGTTGTTATAGCTTGATTTCTGAGATATATGGGATTGAGGAAATAATGCCATAGGAAATATAATATGATGTGTTTGATTATATTCACTATTTAAATTTATCCTCCATTCCATTTGTGTCAACTTGTGGTGAATCTCCGTCCCCTTTCCATTCCCAGAGTAAAATCATAGGAAAAAAAAAAAAGGCATTAATTTAGCCTAGTATTGTGTGTCTGATAGCTACTAGCCTTTTTGTCCACAAATATTTGGTCATCAAAGTTCTGTTGACATGCATGTAATATAGAGATTAAAAAAAACAACAACATTCTTTACATTAGGGATAGGCAATCCATGACTTGTGAGCTGCATGTAGCTTCAGCTCCCTCAGAATATCTTCAAAACTTAGTGACAAATGGCTATATTTAATGGTACAATTATAGCCCATTTTTTGCATATTAATGGAAGTCTTAAGGATGGGAATGGGAGTGGCTGCTTCTGGGAACTTTCCTGTTTTTCATCCTTAGACCACTCCAAAGTATTAGAAAATGGATTTGGAGAAGGTTTATTGGTTGGTAATGAGAGTGGTTTCCTTCGGCAAGTCTGCTTTCCCCTCCCCCTCCTTGCCCCTCTTTCCCCCTCCCTGGCCATCAAGCCTGCCAAATAATAGGCTACTCCCATTAACAAAAAGAAAACAAAGAAGTTAACATAGAACATTACTATATTCACCTTCATCAATTCTTTTAAAAAGTGGCCCAAGCAGAGTTTTATTTCAAATCTGCTGTTATATCAGTTTGATCAAGTGGAAACCCTTTCTGTGGTTTACAGAAAAAATAATTCATCTCCATGTGTTGCTTGTCATTTGTAATCTGTGGGCAGCAAAAATATTTCTTACTCTCTGCTGCCATCTAGTGGATAGAACATTTTGACACTTTGTTACCATTTTGTGATGGTCCAGATTTGTGCAGCTCAACCCCTTATATACTTCTTGCGTAAAACAGAAAAAAAAATAAACTTATGATTTATGGTTTTGATGATTAGATAGGATAGATTATAGAAACAAAAGAGTTATGTTGTAACCATGTTGGTAAGTACCAAAGTATCTCTCATGTTGTTATAGCTTGATTTCTGAGATATATGGGATTGAGGAAATAATGCCATAGGAAATATAATATATTCACTATTTAAATTTAAATAAATAAATACAATTATAAAATTTAAGAAGTAAATTTTATAATTGTATTTATAACTGCTGTAAAGAAGATCGGAGGCTACTTCTTTGTATCTTTTTTCTTTCTTTTCTATTTTTCTTTTACTTTTTTCCCCTTTCTTGCACTTTTAGCTTTCTTTTTTATTTCTTTCTTTTTCTTTT